TAGAGACGGGGTTTCACCATGTTGACCAGGATGGTCTCGATCTCTTAACCTTGTGATCTACCCGCCTCGGCCTCCCAAAGTGCTGGGATTACAGGCTTGAGCCACCGCGCCCGGCCCCCCATTGATGTTTGTTGGCCTGGTGCTGAGGACAGTGGCAAATAAGACAGAGGAGGTTCTCACACAGTGGGGCTCACGAGAAGGCAACAGCACATCGTGGCCGTGCCAGGGCCGCAAAGTCGGGAGAGCAAGCTGAGGAGAAGAGGCTGCCCGGAGCTCCTGCGGAGGGGCCTTTGAGCTGAGACAGGCATAGATTTAAACCCCAGACACTCCTCCGGGCGCAGTGGCTCACGCCTGTAATCTTAGTATTTTGGAAGGCTGAGGCGAGAGGATTGCTTGAGTCCAGGAGTTTGAGACCAGCCTAAGCAACGTAGTGAGACTCCATCTCAAAAAAAATAATTAGCCAGGTGTGGCGGCACGCACCTGTGGTCCCAGCCACCCAGGAGGGTGAGGCGGTCAGATCCGCTGGGCCCAAGAGACCGAGGCCACAGTGAGGCAGGATCACACCACTCAGCCTGGGTAACAGTAGTGAGACCCAGTCTAAAAAAGTAAGTTTTTTTAGGCCGGGCCCAGAGGCTTTGGGGGACTGAGGTGGGTGGATCAGCTGAGGTCAGGAGTTCGAGACCAGCCTGACCAGTAAGGCGAAACCCTTTCTCTAAAAAAAAAAAAAAGAAGGTGCATGTTCCTGTGTTGGGTGGAAGGCAGGGCCCAGCCCCTCCTGGCCACCAATTCCCCTTCTTTCCTACCTAGAGGAGGACTCAGCCATCCCCATCACAGTACCTGGCCGCCTGCCTGTCTCACTGGCAGGCCACCCTGTGGTGGCAGCCCAGGCAGCAGCTGTGCAAGCAGCGGCCGCCCAAGCAGCCGTGGCTGCACAGGCAGCCGCCCTGGAACAGCTGCGGGAGAAGCTGGAGTCTGCGGAGCCTCCCGAGAAGAAGATAGCGCTGGTGGCTGACGAGCAGCAGCGGCTCATGCAGCGGGCACTGCAGCAGAACTTCCTGGCCATGGCAGCCCAGCTGCCCATGAGCATTCGGATCAACAGCCAAGGTACTGCCCTGGTGCCCAGACCCACCATGCTTCCTGCATGGGTCACACAGTGAGGGTCTTGGAGCCTACATATGTAAAGAGTACCAACAAATCAATAACAAAAAAAAAGGAGGCCATGCGCAGTGGCTCACGCCTATAATCCCAGCACTTTGGGAGGCCGAGGAAGGTGGAGTCAGGTCAGGAGTTCGAGAGCAGCCTGGCCAACATGGTGAAACCCCATCTCTACTAAAAATACAAAAAATAGCCGGGCAAAGCAGCATGCACGTCTAATCTCTGTTACTCAGGAGGCTGAGGCAGGAAAATCACTTGAACCCAGGAGGCAGAGGTTGCAGTGAGCTGAGGCCACGCCACTGCACTCCAGCCTGGGTGACAGAATGAAACTCCAGCTCAAAAAAAAAAAAAAAAAGAGGTTGGGTATGGTGGCTTACGCCTGTAATCCCAGCACTCTGGGAGACCGAGGTGGGCTGATCACCTGATATCAGGAGTTTGAGACCAGCCTGACCAACACTGCGAAACCCCGTCTCTATTAAGAACACAAAAAATTAGCCGGGCGTGGTAGTGCATGCCTGTAATCCCAGCCACTTGGGAGGCTGAGGCAGGAGAACCGTTTGAACCCAGGAGGTGGATGTTGCAATGAGCCGAGATCGTGCCATTGCACTCCAGCCTGGGCACCAGGAGCGAAACTCTTTCTCAATAAAAAGCAAACTGGCCGGGGCACAGTGGTTCACACGTATGGTCCCAGCACTTTGGGAGGCTGAAATGGGAGGATTGCTTGAGCCCAGGAATTTGAGATCAGCCTGAGCAACACGGAGAGATGCCATCTCTACAAAAATTAGCTGGGCGTGGTGGCACGCTCCTGTAGCCCCAGCTACTGGGTGGGGGTGCTGGTGGGAGGTTCACTTGAGCCCAGGGGGTCGAGGCTGCAGTGAGCCATGATTGCACCACTGCATTCCAACCGGGGTTGGAATGGGTGGCAGAGCAAGACCTGGTCTCAAAAAAAAAAAAAAAAAAGGCGAAAAAACAAAGCAAGATATGGACAAATACACTTCCTCAGCAGATAAATACTGGGCACCTACTGTGTGCCCTGGTGACAGCATGAATGTGACAGACACTGTCTACACCTTGTGGAGCTGAAATCTAGTTGTTGGTGAGACAGACAGAAAACAGAACATACAACAGGTGTATTTATGATCAGAAATGGCAGTTCTGGCCGAGCGTGGGGGCTCACGCCTGGCATCCAGCACTTTGGGAGGCTGAGGTGGGCGGATCATTTGAGGCTAGGAGCTCAAGACCAGCCTGCCCAATATGGCGATAGCCCATCTCTACCAAAAATACAAAAATTAGATGCACGTGGTGGCGCGCCTGTAGTCCCAGCTACTCGGGAAGCGGAGGCAGGAGAAGTGCTTGCATCCGGGAGCTGGAGTTTGCAGTGAGCCGAGATGGCACCACTGCGCTCCAGCCTGCCGACAGAGCGAGCCTCCACCTCAGGAGCAGACACACAAAAAAACACGGTATGTATTCTTCCCCCAAAGCCTCCGAGAGCCGCCAGGACTCCGCCGTGAGTTTGACGGGCACCAGCGGCAGCAACAGCATTAGCATGTCGGTGGAGATCAACGGCATCTTGTACACAGGTAGGACCCCTGAGGCCACACCCTGCCTCGACCTCCCCTCTCCCGGCGTGAACTCAGGACCCTGGGTTGCACCTGGTTGCACCTGCCGGGACCCAGGCATGCGGGCAAGCAGGACATGGCCAGAGGTTTTGCAGGACAAACAGTCAAGGACAGTCTTGAAAAGGCCATAGCTCCCCTGGCGTGCGCTCAGCCCAGAGGGGGTCATCCGCAAATACATACTCGGTGTGACGTGGGATGCTTCACATTCCTTTTTTTTTTTATGAGACCGAGTCTTGCACAGGCACGCACCACCGCACCTGGTTAATTGTTACATTTTTTGTAGAGATGCGGTCTTGCTTTGTTGCTTGGACCCGTCTTGAACTGGGGCTCACACCAGTCTTTCTGCCTGGGCCCCCCAAAGTGCTGGGATTACAGGCGCCAGCCACACACCCAGCCAATCCCAATGCTTTCTGACGATGAGGAGCGAAGATTGTGTGAGCCCGGTAGTTCAAGGCTTTGAGGCTGCAGTGAGCTGTGAGGACGCCATTGTGCTCCAGCCTGGGCCAAGAGCAGGACCTTGTGTCTTGAAAAACAATTGTAGGCTGGGCGCGGCGGCTCACGCCTGTAATCCAAGCACTCTGGAGGCCAAGGCGGGTGGATCACCTGAGGTCGGGAGTTCAAGACCAGCCTGACCAACATGGTGAAACCTTGTCTTTAAAAAAAAAAAAAGAAGAAGAAGAAGAAGAAAGAAAAGAAAAAAAATTGTAATGAATTTATTTTTTAGTTTTAAAATTTTTTCATTAATTTTTGTGGGTATGTAGTAGGTATATATATTTATGGGTTATATGAGATGTTTTGATACTGGATGCAATGCCTAATAATCATGTCAGGGTAAATGAGATATCAAAAAATTTAATCCAGCCGGGCGCGGTGGCTCACGCCTGTAATCCCAGCACTTTGGGAGGCCGAGGCGGGCAGATCACCTGAGGTCAGGAGTTCGAGACCAGGTTGGCCAACAGGGTGAAACCCCATCTCTACTAAAAATGCAAAACTGGGGCCAGGTGCTGTGGCTCACTCCTGTAATCCAGCACTTTGGGAGGCCAACATGGGTGGATCGTGAGATCAGGAGTTTGAGACCAGCCTAGTGAACATGGTGAAACCCCGTCTCTACTAAAAAAAGACAAAAATTAGCCAGACATGATGGCACATGCCTGTAGCCCCAGCTACGCAGGAGGCTGAGGCAGAAGAATCACTTGAATCTGGGAGGCGGAGGTTGCAGTGAGCCAGGATCGTGCCACTGCACTCCGGCCTGGGCGATAGAGCGAGGCTCTGTCTCAAAAAAAAAAAATCATAATGAAATAAAAATTAAAAAGCAAAATTATCCGGGCGTGGTGGCGCATGCCTGTAATTCCAGCTACTCGGGAGGCTGAGGCAGGAGAATCGCTTGAACCCGGGAGGCGGAGGTTTCGGTGAGCCGAGATTTCGCCGTGGCGCTCCACCCAGGCAACAAGAGCGAAACTCCGTCTCAAAATGAAAAACAAAAAAAAATTAAAAAGTAGCCAGACGTGGTGGCACGCTCAGCTGCTCAGGAGGCTGAGCTGGGAGGATCACGTGAGCCCAAGAGGTTGAGGCTGCAGTGAGCTATGATCGTGCCACTGCACTCCAGCCTTGGGACAGAGTGAGAGAGAAGTTGATGAGGAGTTTGTACCCTGGGTGCACCCCGTTGGGTCTCCCTGTGGCCCGCCTTGCATCTGCTTAAACTCTGCATGGTGTCTGTCTTCTGTTCTTGCCTTAGGAGTTCTGTTTGCTCAGCCGCCAGCCCCCACGCCACCCTCTGCTCCCAACAAAGGTGGAGGTGGCGGCGGCGGCAGCAGCACGGGCGGCCGGGGAGGAAGCAGCGGGACCAGCGGTGGCCAGGCCGGGCCCGCGGGGCTGTCTGCGCCCTCCACATCTACCTCAAATAACTCGTTGCCTTAACCGCATGACTCCCCCGCCCCGCCACCGACCCCGGGGCCCACCGGCCTGGGCAGGGGGTCCAGGTGAGCCACACAGGGGCCAGCACGGCCCGAAGATACGTGTGGGGAGGGAAGATATCCACAGAAGAGCCACAGCTGACGCCAAAAAGAAAAGAAAAAATAGATATAATACGTATATATATAAAGAAAATTTAATAAAACGGGAAAACCAAGGAACACTTGAATTTCTCAGGTTTTGGACATTCAGAGAGATGAATTGTGAGAGCGACAAAGGAAATGGATGAGACAGCCAAGAGGCAGACCTTTCCCGGGCGTTCCTGCCGCCCCGTGAACCGAAGGCTCTGGTGTCTGGTTTGGCCCGACCGCAACGTGGCCGGTCGTGTTTACCTCATACATCCCTGCACTGTGTTTTCGTTTCCGTCTGCTTTCGCTCTCATTATTCTCTGTTCACCTTGCGCTCACCACTCCCAGGTCCTGTGTCCAGCGAAACCCCTGAGCCAAGATCACTGAATTTTTTTTTTTTTTTTTTTTTTTT